GGGGGGGGGGGGGGGGGAAGGGGTGAGGGGAAGTTAAGGGTAGAGCGAAGCCTCATTCTGAAAAACAACAGACGCGACCTCAGGAAAAAGCTGGAACTCGCGAGGTCCTAGCAGATGAAGAGAGCAGTTTTAGCGAGAGAGCACAGACGCACATGGAAAAAAACCCGTAGTTAAAACATGTGACAGGCAGACGTGCTTCAAGGGCTCTGTTTACTGACTATCGACGTTCAGCAAACTGTAAATAATAGCGTTTATAGTTAACGACGTCTATCTCTCGATTCCGCGGGAAATGTGCCTGATTTTTGACTACATCAATACTTTGGTCTTCGAAGATATGGTCGACTTTGACTACATTCTCGATATTCTTGGCAGGATAGTTGAAGTTAACCATTGGAAGGCACGACTTTCACCTAATTCTACCAAAATTCACGTAGACCAACTGAATTTCGCGCAGAGTCGGTCGCCGTGCGGCGGCAACGAGGCCGCGAATCGATAACCGTGCAATGCCGCATCGCGACCGCACGCGGCGTAGCAATGCACGATTATTGATCCGCGGCAGCGATGAGCCATAGAATATTGTTTACCATTCAGGTGGAAGAAAAGATGGATTGGATCCCAATATTCATTAGTAAAAATATGTTTATGGAGAATGTGTACGTGCACTTTTGATCGATTTTAAATATTTGAATTCAACACTAATTCGAGTTAAACTATAAGTTTCAGCGAAGGTTGTACTGCTGAAGATGCAAGAAAGTAAAAGAGGCAGCAAAAGCATTCATTTTGATAGACGTCTTTGTGATAGACAACTTTCTTTTAAATAAAATGTTCCAAATGACGTCGTACTAAGGGCAAAAGTCACACTCATCCTTTTATGTATATCACAACAATGCGTTTGAATTGTAACAAATCGAACAGCTCATCATCGGAAACTTCGACATGAGCTCATGCATACCGTACCATAACTTGTCAAGGGGCGGGATACGTAAAAGAGGCGGAGTCTGGTTGTTTAGTTGTCTCGCCGCGCGGCTTGCCACTTAGGGATAACGCCTGTTGGCAAATTTGGATACCTTCGTTGGGTTCACTAAAAAGTGAGATAGAAAAAGACAAGAAGGCAAGTATTTTCAGAGTCAAGAAGTAGTTGATCACGATTGGGATCACTTGATAGGTTTCTAAAGAATTCGCTGAGAAAATTGGATGGCGTTCGAACAAAAATGTAAGGTTGGAAATTGAAAGGGAAGAAAGGTTTCCAGAAAGTGTCAAAAAGATAGCTGCATTACTAAATAGTCACTTCAAATCAAACTTAGATTAAGAATGACCAGAAATGACTTTTCACTCAAGTTCAGGAGTCAAACCATCCATAGTAACCAAAACGATCCGCAGCATCCCCAGGGCCCGCTGCCGCAGTTATCACATCTGATCAATAAGTATAAACAGCACAGCTGTCCTCTACAGCCTGGACACTAATCTTTGGCAAAGACGTCGACGATTCCTTGGCTGAACGATCTCAATCACATTCTCATTGGTACGATCAATACCTATCACGATCAGATTCTTCTCGCTGTTCTTGCGAAAACCGCATCGATAGCAAGTACGTTCTTGCAGGACGAGGAATAACTAAACCGATGATCCATACGGTCCCTAATAAGGTTAAATGAGTCCTAAAAGATAGAAAGTAAGTGGTGGCTAATTTGTTTACCTTTTGTTTGTGTAAAAAGCGTAATAGAAGGGTTAAACAGCGTTTAAAAACTAGTATGGCGTGGCCAGTGGGCAAAGCAAAAAATAAAAAACATTTGAACAGAAGTTATTCCGAAGAAGTAAAGCTGAGAGTATAACAACAAAAAAACAATGTCCCTTCAAAACCGAAAATGGTAAGAATCCGTGGAATTACGTGCATTAGTGTAGATACGTCCTAAATCACTTTTAGTCGTAAATAAATGGGACAAACCTTACATGGACGATCTAATTGTGAGTTCAGTACTCAGTTTATACCCAGTAAAAGAAGACTGTATTCTGATAGAGCTTAACTGTTGGATTCGTCCAAACCACTTACCTCGTTCCGGTCATGAAAACCATATACGGGGAGCTGGCCTAGAAGAGACGGCTGTTATCCACTAATTGTCTCATTCAGACTTCGTTCGCTGTAAATTAGTCACCAATATTCCTTTCAATCCTTCTCTGAGATTAGCCTGTACCTTTAAAAACCTCCAATTTCTTCAAACTCTACTTCTAGGTGAAACATAGAACTCAATTAACCTATTGTAGATGGCCTTGCTGGAAACCCTCAGAACATGCCCCGATTCCTTTTACCTAATGAAATCCGTAAGCAGTAATGACCCTTCAAATCACTTTCCATTACCTCGATCACTGTTTTACTGCTTACAACTTTCTGCGCGATTTTCCTTACAGTCTATCCGTTTGCGGGTAACTTCTCCCACTTTCCTCAACGCCACCTCAGCTCAGTGGATCAGGAGAATCATAGGGCCTTTTTCAATGCCCTTTGATTCTTGGTAACTTAGACGATGATATCTGCCAAATGATGCAATCCTGGCCTACCCTCAGGAGATTTCACATACAATGACTCCAGTGATCCCTACAGGATCCTATTCGCACACCAGATCTACATATCCTCAAGCGGTAGCATGGCTCACTCCAAGACATCAGCCGTGTGATGGTTTTATTGGTCCCATTCCCCTGCCATCGATTTTGGGGTGAATTAGAGCAGGACTTGGGGGAGGACATTATGTTTTTCAGGCCAGGCGACTGATTTAGACCTCTAGAGGACCTCTGCGTATCGGATAGCAACACAAAAGCTTTTTGAACGATTTATTAGACAAATAACAAGTGAGAGATGTGAGAGTATGGCATTTAGGAGCGATGTGGGAGAGGGACGATACTACACGTTTTGAAGTGGAAATGCGATGAACAACAACGACGATCGACAACGATGACGATAGTGGTGAGCAGTTGGTGCCTAGTTCTTGGCCAGCAACGTTTCGGCCATCTTCTGGAACTTCTCGTCTGAAAATGAACACCTTTGCGATTGTGGTACCGTAATCCAAGGTACTGTAATTGATCATTACTTACTCTTGAAGACAGATGTCAGGATGGGGAATTGCTTCTGGAGGTCCTCCTTAGCGGGGTCAGACAGAGCCTTGTACTTCTCGATGGCCTTCTGAGCCTTCTCCTTCAGTTCAGCCAGATTTGGCTTGTTACCGGCAACAACGGCAGCTTGGATCTTGCGGGCACCAGCGATGATCTACAGATAAATAAATAAGATGTAATTGAATCTATTTTTCAGCCAAAAGGACGAGTTACCTCCTTGGCGAAAGCCTTGGCTTCGTCATTGAGTGCGTCGATCTTTCCCTTGACCATTTCGTGGAGTTTTTCGGCTTTAGCTCCAAGTTCGGGTGATTTCTCCTTCAGGGCAGCCAGGGCCTTAAACGGTGGGTTATAAAAGGCTTTCACGGAAAACGAAGAGTGCTCTCCCATACCTCATCTTCGTTCTTGTACTTGGCATAGTCCTTGGCAATTTCCTTGAGAACAGCCTTGTCGGAATCGGTAAGGCCGTTGAGGAAGTCCTTAGCTTCCTTGGGAATGAGCTCTGGAATCAATCCTTCGTAAACTCTCAGAAAAATCAACTAATTATTGAAATCAGTAAAAAAATAACCTCTGTACTCAGGAGGAATATCCTCGAGGCTGTTGAATGGAGCCGCGAAGGCGATGGCAGCAACGATGGCCAAGGTAGCGAGTTGACGGATCATCACTGAAAAGGACGACGATGAAAATCAAGTCGATCAGAAGGTGAAATGCTATCAGGAAAGGACAGACAAAGCAAGGAATGCAAGGGATTCGATCAGAAAAAGCTGACGACGGCAGATGAATTCAACAAATCGCAACTGGCTGAAGCAACCGTCACGAAGGCGGCTTTTAACCCAGCACCCGAGGGGCTGACCCGTGAAGCATTAGACTGGTAGAGGGACACAGACACTGCTCGCCAAGATGAGGTCAGAGAGAGGAACAGCTAGAAAAGGGGCGGGACCGATAAGCGATGACGAAGAGCCGTTACAGCTGGCTGAGTGGCTAGCCGTTGGCAGGATTAGGGTAGGATCCTAAGTGGGTAAACAGCGCTTCTCTGCAGAATTGTAAATCATTGGTAGTTAGCAGTACTTCAGATAGGAAAATCTGTAATTTGATTAATTTTCGAAGATTGTCATCCTCTTTCCAACTCAACTGGACACAACAACTACGGAAACTACCGAAGTTCATAGCACCAATGAACCCAATTGTGGTATACGCCATGCATTCACATTCCAACGAAAATCACTAGGTTATTTTAGCTAATTAACTGACCCTTACACTGTCTGACAACGGCCGGCCTGTTCTACTCAAATCTATGTCCTCTCAAGGAGTACCAGCAACTCTGACTTTTCAGATCCCACATAGGCATCATCAGAAGAGTTTAGGTATCTTTAAAGATTGTTTATAGAGATGAGAATGAATTGTTGTGGAAGAGAACGGGAGAGCCGAGATGCCGTCAACAACTTGGCAATGGCAATGGATCAGATCCCACTCAGGGTAATCAAACTTTTCAGTCTTCAGAGCTTGACCAGTTATTGACCTGAGCACTTAAGACCTCAACCAGAAACACTGATGCCAAGCACGCTTCTAGAGTAGGTTTGCCGGTGAATGAGCCAATAGTTCCCTTATAAATGCTTCTGCAATTCGGAACTGATGTCATATACATGGTGCGTCCATAATTTCATATATATGTCTCTATTCTTTTCATCCCTATCTGTCAGCACTCACGAAGTCAAAAGGTTTGGTAAGAAGACATGGAGTATGAAGCTGGTCAGAACCGGAGTCTGATCATTTTCATATTTCTATGTTCAAACCAAACCTAATGACACACTCCCAAACAAAGTTTCTGAACAGGCCAAAATGCTCAGCGGAGCAATACTAACAACAATGCGAATGCGTCATTTAACTTGACATCTCCATGGAGAGCGGCCACATGTGGCAATGATCTGAATACTCCCTCAAAATTGAAGGCCAAATTGAGGCTTCAAGCAATCGTTCCCAGTTGCGCCATGTATTTACAAATTCAAAAAGACTGTAAGGGCATTCTTGGCCTATACAATTAGTTGAAATTGCTAGCCAACGTTCAGATCGTTTTCATTCTACATTGCAAATCTGACATCGATCATTGAATCGATCGATTGAGCAGAAAGCTCGACGAGGACCTTGATAGGCCTTGGTATCATCGACAATGTAAGTGCCTACACTGGGCCTCTAGCGGCTGCCCCTATTTCGCTGTTCTCTTAGAAGAGGGCAAAGCGATTGTAGACATATCCATTCAGCATTGCTACTGGCGTTCTACTCCTGATTGAAAGTGATCAGAGGGAACCGCTGGACGAGATGGTGCCACTACCCAAGAGCAAGCAACGGATCGAAGATCAGCTGGTTCTCTCTGTTTTCCGCTTACTTCGTAACTTTACGACAAACTTCTTGCTCGACCAATTCCCATGATCCCAATGGTTGAACAGATGATTCGACCAGTTGCATTGGTATTATAATAATAACGAGATGATGGTGCTTCACCGTTGTTTATCATGACTAGTGAGTCACTCCAGTGTAATACGATGACGGTGACATTTATAGAAAACTTTGGACTTCCCCTGCTACAAATCACAATTGATGAGGACTGCAGACGCAGGAGCAGAGACGGATCAGCAAGACCGCATGCCAAAACATTAAAATGATCCGATAGATGAGCCCTGCACATCCGCTCGAACATTCCTTCTTCACAGGCTTATAGCCACGCAAATGCTGTGTTATTCCACCCAGAAGATCAGTGCACGTTGCACTTTTTCGGAAGGATCGACCCAAAGGGACTTCTTCCCTCAATATCAGCAAGACTACGGAAAATTTCGAAGCATCTGTGAAGGAAGGGCTTCGCTTAGGGTGAAACCATGACGAGCCGATGAGAATATGTTGACCTGAGACCACTTCTACCTCGAAACCTTCTCAACCACCTGGACCTTATATGTCTTCAGGGTCGGTTAGGTTCGAAAGGGTGCAGCAGTCAGAAGCCTGTCAGAAAGCTCTGATACTGCAGGTGTGATCGAATTCAAACAGGCTCATCGGGCTTTCTATTGAATCGACTGATCAGCTGATCAGTATAAAAACTGCGCTGAAGCGTAAAGAACATTCCAGAATCTACGCCAGCGCCTACCCCTCACTGTGTTGCCCACGACAAACTCGAATACCTCCGAAAGTTTCGATGCGAACTGAATGTACGAGGTAATTTAGACTTGTCAAAAGGGGAGGGAGAAGGAAGAGGAGGACTCTCTCGCTTTTATTTACTTGTTTGTTTACTCAAATCTTTCAAAACTAGGCAACAGGCGAAACGCGTTCTAGCCAACACCAGTAACCATCGGTAACCATCCATCAGGGATGGACGCTTTTTGACTTTTCAATCGGCAGCTCCCTAAGAAAAGGGGACGAGACCAGAGCGCTCGTCAACCTTTTCCAAACCTTGGCCCTTATTTCCCTTGCCAGAGCCTATTCCTAAAAAGCTTTTGCAGTTCTCTTGCAGCACGTTCTCAGAAAATGATTTTAAAAGCTGTGCAGGCTTTCAGGGACCCCGTTTTTTTGTCGGCGCTGCAACACAATCTCTCTTTGTACCTTGTACCCTCTCGTCCCTCGTCCTATCATCGTTGGATGGTCATTTGTCAGCGGCCGTAGACGAATGAAGCCGAGGACACCCTTATGTCTGTGTGTCCGCTTGTATCTTTGTCTTCCATTTGGTGCTGCCGCCATTCTTCCTATGTTACCAGATGGCATTAACTGAACAAAGACCACCAAGACACACCAAAACGGTGCTCAATTAAAATCAAACGTGAAGTCATTGAAAATGCACATCTCAATTCCAATCGACCTT